TCATTTTGAAGGTGTGTGTGTGTAGAATGTTGCTCCTATTTTGATTTTGGAATTCACTCTTCAGTTGTCAAAATGCCGTCCAAGCAAGAAGAGCAGCGTATCAAAATTTTGCTCGCGCATCGCGAAAATCCGAGCTACTCGCACGCAAAGTTGGCAAAATCGCTAAAAGTTGCCAAATCAACCGTTACAAATGTAATTAAAGTGTTTGGGGAACGTTTGTCGACAGCCAGGAAGTCTGGATCGGGGGGAAATCGAAAACCGGAAGCCGCTGAGACGACAAAGAGAGTTGCCGGTAGTTTCAAGCGAAACCCTAACCTCTCTCTCCGAGATGCCGCAAATAAGCTGGGTGTATCGTCTACAACCGTGCATCGAGCCAAAAAACGAGCCGGACTATCGACTTACAAGAAGGTAGTGACTCCAAATCGCGATGATAAACAAAATACGACGGCCAAAGCGCGATCCCGGAGGCTGTACACGACGATGCTGACGAAGTTTGACTGCGTGGTAATGGACGACGAAACCTACGTCAAAGCCGACTACAAGCAGCTTCCGGGACAGGAGTTTTATACGGCAAAAGGAAGGGGAAAGGTAGCAGATGTTTTCAAGCACATGAAACTGTCAAAGTTCGCAAAGAAATATCTGGTTTGGCAAGCCATCTGTACCTGTGGCTTGAAAAGCAGCATTTTCATAGCTTCCGGGACTGTCAACCAAGAAATTTACGTGAAAGAGTGTTTGAATAAACGTCTGCTGCCTTTCCTGAAGAAACACGGTTGTTCCGTACTGTTTTGGCCGGATTTGGCATCTTGCCATTACGGTAAAAAGGCCATGGAGTGGTACGCCGCCAACAACGTGCAGGTGGTTCCCAAGGACAAGAACCCTCCCAACACGCCAGAGCTCCGCCCAATTGAGAAATACTGGGCTATTGTCAAGCGGAACCTAAAGAAGACCAAAAAAACTGCTAAGGGCGAGCAGCAGTTCAAGGCAAACTGGCTTTCTGCGGCGAAGAAGGTGGACAAGGTGGCTGTACAAAATCTGATGGCAGGGGTCAAGCGTAAGGCCCGGCAATTCGGATTTGGAAAAGCGGAAGCCTAACTGAATATTTTTCCTGAATTTTATACTAATTGAACTTGAAAAAGAAATTTAATTTGATTTTTTAAATAAACGATTTCACCGATTTACACGCGTTTTCCCTTGACCAAATTTTGACCGTATCACCCTTTAATAGAGAAAATGTGAATGGAAACCGCGTAAACGGTGTCCGTACTACGTGGGATTTGACTTAATTGGTTACAACATGGAAAATCTCGAGATCCTGACCAGATAGAAAATTACTGTCTTCAGCAAAGTTGTTCTAGAGATCATAACCTTTTTGCTGGTGAAGAGTAGTTCAGAAAATTCTCACTACGTGGTGCTAGTATATACGTGCAATTTCCACATATACTATAGCTCGAGTTCCCAACCAGATAGAAAGGTACTGTCTTCGGCATAGTTGTTCAGGAGATCAAGGCCTTTTCGCAAGTGGACAGTAGTTTAGAATTTTCTCACTACGCACCGCTAGTGTACACGTGAAATTCTCATATTTAATGTCTCAAGATTCTGACCAGATAGAAAGTTACTGTCTTCGGCAAAGCTGTTCAGGAGATCATAAACTTTTTGATGATGACATTTCAAAGATTTTGAATGGAAATACGAAGAGGCAAATTGCTCAATATAATTTTCAAATTTGCCCCAAAGTTACACTATTCTTCAAAATTTACTCTGAAGAATCATGATTGATTTTCTCAGAATGGTGTTGAAAAAAATATATTTGAAATTAAAAGTAGTAGTAGAACCCTTATGCTATACCATTCAAACCATTCAAATAACGTAAGGAGATCAAAAATTGGACGTAAAATGAGAGAGGTTTAAACAAAACACATTAGCATGTATTTTGGGGGTGTATTTAAGCTTATGATCGGGAGTGTAGGTTACTCAGCGCTGAGTGAACTGCGATTTTGGAAATTTCTCCAGACAACTGAGTAAAACAATCTCACGACTAAGATAGTCCTATGACTCGACTGGCTAACTCGTGTGTATATATGTTATGCATTTTATATTACATTACACATTTGAGACGAACTGAGTAGATTCTTCTCGTTTAGATTCAGGATAAGGTGTATGTAACCATAAATTCGACGTCACACTCCTAGCAGCGTAGGAATTGCGGTATAATGAAAGAGATGATAATTTCATATTATCAGGCCTTTTCTTTATGACTTTGGATGTACATACACACTTAGATTTTTTTGCCGAGGTGGGCACTCGGTATTTTATTTTGCTGGATCTCAACGAAAAATTTGCCACGTGGTGAGAAAATTCTTAACTACTGTCTACCAGCCAAAAAGTCTTGAACAACTTTGCCGAAGACATCAACTTTCTAGCTGATCAAGATCTCGAGCTGAATATGCGAGAAAGGCATGTATATACTAGCGCCGCATAGTGAGAAAATTCTACTTTTGTCACCCAACAAAAACATCTTGATTTCCTGAAAAACTATGCCGAATACATTTACTCTCTATCTGGATCTAGATATATTTTATATGCGAGAATTTCACATGTATAGTAGCGCCGCGAAGTAAGAAAATTCTGAACTACTGTCCACCTGCGAAAAAGCCTTGATCTCCTGAACAACTATGCCCAAGACAGTACCTTTCTATTTGCTCGGGAGCTCGAGATATTTTATATGAGAATTTCACGTGTATATTAGCGTCGCGTAGTTAGCAAATTCTGAACTATTGAGCACCAAGCAATAAGCATGGACAGCATTTGTGAAAGACAGTAACTTTCTATCTGGTCAGGATCTCGATATATTCCATGTTTTAATCAATTAAGTCAAATCCCACGTAGTATGGTCACAGTTTACGCGGTTTCCATATACATTTTCCCTATTATCCGCATTTTTAGGTGTTTACTGTAATCAAAGTTTAGCTTGTTTAGATCAAAACAAGTTTTTTGAGGAATACTCGATGGTTTCAGATCGATTGGTAATTCAGCAACAAAATGGCAATGGAAAACTCATGTGTGTTGTACAAAGTACAACAGCGCGAGTAACGGAGGGTTGAAATTTAAAAATTATTTTCAGCCACTTATTCTAAAATATAAAAAAATATGAGCGAAAAACATTTTCAGGCTTTGTTTTGAGGTTCCCCCTTAACTTTTGCTCGATGATTTTAATACATATTTTCATAGTTTAAATATTTGCTTAACTTGTCCACCATTTTTTTTCAACTGGAGCCCGTTGCGTATTAAATAAGGGTTCTACCACCACTTTCATTTCAAAATTTGGCCAATCCAATTCTGAGAAAATCATTCAAGATTATTCGGTGTAAATTTTAAAAAAACGCTCTAACTTTAGGTACACTTTTAGTGTACAAAATCTTAAAAATAAATTGTTACATTTATTTACCAACTAAGCTTCACTCAATAACTTTCAAATGAGAACGAAAATTGGACCTAAAATGATAGAGATATGAACAAAACACATTTTTTTGCGGGTGACCCCAAACTTAAGTTTCCAAAAGTTGATAAATTTTCAAGACCTGAAAGTTAACTAATTTCCTAGCAAATATTTCAAGCTATAGAGGTTTCCCAAAACAGAATTGTTCTAGTATCCATTATTTTAAAAATGTTTCGAGACTTTAGCACTACCAGAACAAATAGGTTTTTGCCTTAACTTTTTCTAAATATTCAGGGACTGCAATTCTGGGAGCTGATAAAAGCACGAAGATTATTGTTTTGATGACTATGAGAATGGGGAAAAAAATTCAAAACTGAAAATAAGGACAAGTTTTTTAAAATTATGATACTTCGAAAAGCTTCCAGGGACTCAGGGACGGTGAAACAAAATTGGGACTAGAAAACAATTTAAGACACCTGGAACCTTATCAAATTTCGAATACTTCAGAATTTAGCCGATTTTTCAAGCATCCAGAACATAAGCAATGTTCTAGGGTCGAAAAAGATTAGAGTCAGAACCTTATTATTTTTAAGACTTTGGACCATAGATAAATTAATTTTAGGCTTTGGGACAAAAATAAGCTTTCGGGACTAAGAAAACTTCACGAGATTCCGGGAGATTTCATGATTCCAAGAATTAGTAAAATGTTGAAGCAACCAAAATAGAAAAATTGTTTCGAAAATCGAGCGTCACAAACAAATTAAACCAATTAATTAATTAATTCTTTTGGGTTTAAACTTCTTTAGCCTTCGTTTAGGGACATTGAATAATTTGCAGATTCATGACTTAAAAAAACCAACCACCCATTTGAGCTGGTTAAGCTATTTTTTAGCTGAAAAAGCATATGTTTGCCTGAATAAGCTCTTATTTAGCTTTCAATGTTTGTTGCGTCATGTTCTGGTCTGGTGGAATTTAAAGGACCTCGAGGGCAAATATAGAGTTTCAGGTTTGGTGAATTTCTGGAACTAAACTAACGACGGACTTTCTAATGGATTTCCTGTGCTAATCAGCCAGCTGTTATGACAATTTTGGGGCATATCAGTGCTCGTTGATCCCAGTTAGATCTATGGTGACGAGACGTATCCTATGAGACTAGTGCGGATAGTTTTACGGCTGGGTTCCGTGCAGTTCAATTTCAGGTTCAATAATTTTAGCGTAAATTTCGGTACAGGATCAGGCGTCATCGGAAGTTCGAAAGGATTTCGAAGACAGAGCTCTTTTGGGAGCTTTCCTATAGACTCTTCTGGATTTACTCAAGATTAGCTTGACTAATTTTGAATGATGTAAAAGCACATTCCTGTTTTAACTTCAAAGACATATGATACATTTGCCGTGTTTCTACATTTGTTCATTCGCAGTGCTACTGCATTTGTCCCTTGAATTATTGCAGAGTTGCTAATCTTCTTGATCTATTATCTTCGGTTCATCCTATAAGAAGCCGATCCCACAAATATCGAAACGAAACGGTTTACAAACAAATAATACAACCACCTTTCCTACTTACCGGAAGACTTGAGCAGCTCCGGATCGACCAGATCCGTTAGGTCCGGCTCCTCGCCGTACCAGAAGATCCACAGCTCCTTGGCGGCCGTCAGCGATAGCGGCGGATGGATGACCGACCCGCCCGTCACCGGACCCTGTATACTAATGTCGAACACATTCTGGTCCTGTTCCGCGGGCTTGGGGGCGGCCACCCGGCGCCACACGCACAGGATGTCCACCTCGAGGCATTTCGAGTAGGAACGGAGCACCGGATCGTCCAGCGGGTAGCTGGACGCATTCGGCCGTTCACCCTGAACCAACTTACGCCATTTTATACCGCACAGATCAGTCTGGAAGGGAAAAAAAAACGAAGAGAAGGTTCAGAAAAAAGTTGATTAGAGTTCGATAATTTGAGTGAGCGGTAGCGCATAAACATAACAATACAAAACTGAAGAAAAAAAAACAATTGATACGGACAGCGCTCTCGTCGCGGCGCAGCAGTCAGTCGGTCTCTTCATTCAGCTGAGGTGGGAAAAACAATGCTAGAAAGGCGAAAGCTTATGTAAAGCAGTCAGTCGCATGCAGCAGCAGAAGACCGCTTTTCACTATGGCAATGCATTTACTGGTAGCTAGTAGTAGGCTAGTCTAGAAGGGCACGCGGGACGAAATTTTCCCATTTCTAAAATCAATATTTTCCGTTAGTTTGCGGCAAATATTACTTGACCGAAAGTGTTCTAACAAAACTAGAAACTGAGCGATGCTGTTAGACTTTGTTTCAAATGAAAAATATTGATTTTAGAGGGGACGAAATCAATGCGCCCCCCCCTAACGAACCGGTCTAGAAGTCACCGACCGTTGTTTAGTCATGCGACCTCCTTCGTCGCTCAAATCACGAAAATGCTAATGCTTCTTTAATCGAATGACGCGCGTTTTTGTACAGGAAAAATCCAAAACATCGCTACACCAACAACGACGTCGTTTTATTGCTCGTTTGCTTGCCCGCTGCAGCTCTTCACATTCACATAGTTGGCGTTGGGTCGGAAGTTTGTTAGCTGTAGTTATACCCTATAGGGGTCGTAGGTACAACTCCCGCCCGCCAACCGGGGCTTGAGTGCACGCGATGAAGTCACACGTGCATCCAACCAGCCTAGTATTTCCCTCATACACATACAAGCTGCGTTATTCCCTGTGCTGTGTGTTTGTTGTGTAGACCGCAGACGCGAATATGTATCCTCACCTACAATCAAACGCTCAGAAAGCTGTACACTTCTTGCTCGGGTGGTATTTCAGTGTTTTCCTTTCCGAATATAGGGGGCCAGTTGGTGGTAGTGAAATGGAACTTTTTTGTTTTCATCTCTCACAACGATTCGTAGCGGCTACCGCACAGAAGAGACGGCAAATCCGGCCGGAGCGGACCTTATGTAGTAGTTGTAATGCGAGCAAAAAGAGCCACTGACTGAGAGGTCGAGGACGGATCGTGGCGCGGTGTGGGATTGGAAAGGAAAAGATAGCAAGGTAAATAACAAGCGCTTGAGGAAACCCGCTTTTCGTCGACGAGCGAGCAGCGCATTCTCACGACCGAGCCATTGAGGTAGGTGAAGGTGAGGATGATGATGATGATGACGACGACAACGACGACGGCGGCGGCGGTGGAATCCAGCTAGCCCATCAGCAGCACACACGGGTTTTCAGCGTTTCATCGTTCGGTGTGGTTGGTATGTACAGTAGGTATGTTGTAGATATACGATCTACTTTTTTTTTGTGAGAATTGGCCGTCGTAGTCAGAAGAAGGTAAGACTATCGGTGGATGGTGAGTAGGTGGGAAGATCGGGCGGGCATGGCTGTGCCTGTCTGTCACTGTAGGTAGATCACAGCATGTGGTGCTGGAGAAGCTGCTGTGGTCCAGTGTTTAGCGCTGGAAAGATCCGGTGGTTGTGCGGTTTTGCTGGACAGAAGGTTGTGAGAGAGTCTCCTATACCTACAGGATCGATGTGTTATAATGAGAGGAGAAGTTGAAATTGAAATATATCGGCATCCACTGCCAGTATTATCAGGTTCATAAATGCATGGCTCACAGCGAATACATCTCTTAGGGCATCGATTACAGCATCATTTGTTAACAGGTTGCTATTTTTCCTATTCCGGCTTGAGTTTTGGGTGTTTCTCTCCGGACTCCAGTAAGTTGCTTCCATCTGAACGGGATTCACATACAGTGCTTTCACGAAATTGGCAATGTTGCTCATGGTTTGGGAACATGAAAACAAATTCTTCACTTCACTGAACATCTCAAATGTTTTGCTTTCAACTGCAACGACAAAGCAACCGAGCAGCAGGCAATGAACAAAGCGCACCGAAACAATAGCTTCTAGCGAATGTACGGACTATCGCGTGATTTATAACTGCTGCTGTCGGTCTCGACAACAGCGGAGAGTGAACTGGAGGAGCGAACCCGAATTAAATTCCTTCAAAATTCGATCATCTTGCGACTTATTTAAGGGTAATCTGATGTTCGAAGGAGCTTGTTTTGTTTTCCGTCGATCTTGTTTTCCGTACTCAGTACCAATGTTACCGACGCCAGGGAGGCAGCTCCCACATCTGGACCCTACCTATCGACCCATCAACTCATGGACCGGGGCCTCAGAAAATCCCGTCGGCGCCGACTGGGATTGAACCCAGGCCTTTTGGTGTGAGAGGCTATCACGCTTACCACTACACCACCCGATTTTGTCAGCCTGCAGATTTTGCTGAACTTTTTGGTTTTAAAGCAAATTACACCTAATTGTTTTGTCACAACAATAACGGAGGTAACCCAAATAAATCTCAATAATTGTGACACTGCACAGCTGTTGTGGCTTCCAATAACGGTAACTAGGTGGCAGAAAGAGCTGGGATAGCTGCAATACAAGTTATGGGCAGATACCCCATTCAAGAAGAAGGTTTCGTGACCGCCAAAATAAACAGAATCTTCATATGCAGTTGCTACGCACCTCCTAGATGGACGATGGAGCAGTTCCACCGAAGAGCTGATCGAACGAAGACTGGTAGTCATCGGAGGGGACTTTAATTCTTGGACAGTGGAGTGGGGAAGGATATGTACCAACGAGAGAGGGCACATTCTGCTGGAAGCTCTGGCAAAGCTGGAAGTTAGGCTGTTCAATGAAGGCACCTCCAGCACCTTTCACAGAGATGGCTGGGAATCAATTATCGACGTCACTTGCTGCAGTCTGTCGCTGTTGGGAATTGCAGAGTGTGCGAAGGATATACCCATAGCGACCATCAGGCGATCCGATATGGCATGGGCAGTACGGAGGACGAGAACTTGCGACCTGAAATGAAAGACGAAGGCTTTTGACAAAGATATTTTCTTTGAAGCACTCCGTGCGGACGGGGGCCCCACGGATCTAAACGCAGACGAGCTGACAGAAACGTTAGTGAGAGTATGTGACACAACCATGCCGAGCAAGCGGGAGAGATAACATACGGTGTCCAGTTTACTTGTGGAACGAGGCACTTGGCAGTTCAGAGAGCAAGAACAGAGGAACGTATAGGAATGTTCCGAGCGGCCAGGGCCGCACATAAATGGGAGATACATCAGAACAAGTCAAACTATTTCAAGGAGCTGTGTCGAGACGCTGATGCCAACATCTGGGACGACGCATACCGTGTCGTGATGGCGAAGATCAAAGGTCAAACGATGCGCGCTGAAATGTGCCCAGAGAAGCTGGAAGTTATCGTGGATGGACTTTTCCCGAAGCACGACCCAATGCATTATGGGCAAAAATGGGTCCAAAATTACCCAAAATTCAATATCTCAACAGCACGCTGAATTCCGGCCATGAAAAACAACTTTTTCGAAGGGAAATTGTCCAGGAAATCGATTGCACGTAGTCCCATAGACCGGAGAGCCTTGTAGGTATGTGTTTTGGACCATTTTACCCCATTTTCCCCTACTTTTTGGAGGAAATGTTTTTTCACAGCTCTATTTTTCGTAAAACATAAGCACTTTATGCATGGTTTTAGAAAACTATGTCTTTAAATAACAGTTCATGAGATATTAGGGGAATACGGGGTACACTGTATAGGGGAGTAAGGGGTCAATGTGAAAATACAATCAATGTTTTTTTTAATACAAAATCAATTCTTTTAAATATCATAATATTTTTCTGAAAAAAAAATTAATTAACTTTCATTTGGTATTTTGAGTTCCGTCATCAGCCAAACAGTTCAAAAGTTATAAATTTTAGAAAAAAATCGAAATTTTTTTTTTGCCTGCCCTAATATATAAATAGTCACCCTAATGACAAAATACAAAATATGGGTCTAATATGTTGCGATAAGGAACAAAACTACCAATTTTTACAAAATTTTGAGAACTACTATATCGTTTTGCTGTATACAGACAAAAAAAGTGAAAACTCTTTTAAAACAGATAGCAGTAAATTAAAACTTATTTAACCCCAATTAACCTTAAAATTTCGAAAAAAAAATCTGATTATTGCAGGCAACCCTGGGGTCATTCAAACAATCACATCGTTCAACATTTATATGAATTAAAAAAAATTTAGCGAGGGTTAACTTTTACCCCTTACTCCCTTATAAAGTGTACCCCGTATTCCCCTAATATCTCATGAACTGTTGTTTAAAGACATAGTATTCTAACACCATGCATAAAGTGCTTATGTTTTACGAAAAATAGAGCTGTGAAAAAACATTTCCTCCAAAAAGTAGGTGAAAATGGGGTAAAATGATTCAAAACACATACCTACAAGGCTCTCCGGTCTATGGGACCACGTGCAATCAATTCCCCGGATGATTTCCCTTCGGAAAAGTTGTTTTTCATGGCCGGAATTTAGCGTGCTGTTGAGATATTGAATTTTGGGTAATTTTGGACCCATTTTTGCCCATAGTGCAATGACCTGGCCACATACACCGTACGGAGAGGGAGAGATAGATAACGTCGAAGTCACTAACGAAGAACTCGTTACAGCGGCGAAAGGATTGAAGGTGAAGAAAGCTCCCGGTCCGGATGGAATACCCAACGTGGTGTAGAAAGCGACAATCCAGGCATCCTCGGACATGTCCGGGATGGTGCTGAAGAAATGACTGGACGAAGGTCACTTCCATGGATACACTCCCCAAGTAGCACTGCAAGTTTTATCGAGGTTTTAAAGCACTCTACAAGTCTAAATCCTAGTCTACTGAACTCTAAAACCCAAATTGTTACTTGGGGCGGGAAACTCTTGGAGAGAATCATCCTAAACAGGCTGCCGAAATGCACGGACAGTGAGCACGGATTGTCGGAGAGGCAGTTTGGATTCCGAAAAGGGAGAGCAACGATGGATGCAATTCG